CTGCCGAGTGACTGGAGCAGTGGTGAGACGTGGCCGCCATCCTGGAGGTTCACCCCTTCAGCAGAAACAGCAAACCTGACTAGCTTCCAAGATCTACAGTGAGAGTGACACACCGCCTGTGGGGCCAGCAGGGTCTTCCCTGCCGCCAGCAGCCTCAGTGCCATGCGCTCCAAGCCAGTCAGAAGTCAGCCCTGCTCACCACTCTCCCGTGCAGGCTGGGACCTAGGACACTGCGGACACAGGTGAGAAACTCCGGGGCACGCAGGTGAGTGAAATTCTGGCCAGGGGACCATCTCAACACCCTACCTCTCCGGGGTCAGTATCACCACGTGTGTGGTCGTGTCTGGTGACCTGCCCATCCAGCTCCCAGGGCTGGCACTGCCCCCGTCTGGAGGTCTCCCTCTGCCTGCTCCCCACTACCGCAGTGAGGGAGACCCGCGTGTCGGTGGAACGCACGGCGGAGGGGAGGAGACGTCACACAGGCGACTGCGGCCCAGCTGCCTGCTTCATCTGCCCACCGCCCCGCCTGCTCCTTGGGCCTCTGTTTTACCCTACGCCCCGGAATCTCAGCTCGCACACCTCCAGCCAAATGTTTTCCTTCACAATAATTTTGGAGACATAGCTGTCATGAGAATTATTCCAATTATAACAACCTCCTGCCACTCCAACCATTTTGACCCAAGCTGGGCCCTTACCAAGAGCCCGCGGCGTCTGGCATTGCGCGGCCACCCGGGGGTCTGTAAGGGGACGACTGTGGGCACAGCCTCTGCAGGACAGGCTTCCTAGTGCGTCTGGCTGACACTAGTATCATTAATCGGAACTTTATATCTAAATGACTTCACATTAATTATACTGGCTCTTCTCTGTAGCAAGTCTGAACAGTACTTTTTAAAAAAGGGTAGACTTTGCTGGAAAGTCCAGAACCTGTCACAGTCAGATCAAATGCTGCAGTGACTTGATAAGGATTTAATCACTGAAGATAAATGGAGAAATAACCTCAGGTGAGGATTATAAAAAAAAAAAATAAGGAATAGAATTTTTATTCTTCATTAGCAATGTAATGCTTCATTTAAACATTAGAAGTAAAATTTTAGAAATCTATGACTAAGCTATTAGAGTGACTTTAGAAGAACTGCAGGATACAAGAACAATCTATAAAATTTTTAGATACTAGTAATGAACTGCAAATTAAAATGATAAAAAGCAGTACTATTTATAACACAAAATATTAAATTCTTAAGTACTGTCAAATATAGTATCCACTGAAAATTATTAAACAGGGTTAAAAAAAAATTAAAGAAGACCTAAATAAATAGACACTGTGTTTATGAATCATAAGACTTAATATTGTCAAGATACCAATTCTCACCAAACCGATTTATCTAGTCAACACAATCCATATCAATACCCTAGTAGGATTTTTTTTTTAATTGTGTTTATTTTTATTTTTTAATTGATTTTAGAGAGAGGAAGGGAGAGGGAGAGAGAGATAGAAACATCAATGAGACAGAACATTGACCGGCTGCCTCCTGCATGCCCCCCATTGGGGATTGGGCCCACAACCTGGGCATGTGCCCTGACCGGGAATCGAACCAGCGACCTCTTGATGCAGGGGTCGACATTCAACCACTGAGACACACTGGCTGGGCCCCAGTAGAATTTTTAAAAATATACATTGATAGCTGTTTCCAAATGTATATGTGAAGGCAGAGGAACTGGAATAACTAAGACAATCCTGGTAAAAAAAACAACAAAGCTGGAGGACACACCCTGTTGGGTTCTCAGACACACAAAGAGCTCAGTAATCAGGTGTCTAACTGATGAAAGAACAGAACACAGACAAATGGAACAGAACAGGGAGTCTAGAAATAGACTTAGATAGATGGTCAAATGAGTTATAATATACGTGTAAAAGCAAATTCAATAAAGAAAATATAATCGTTTTAAGAAGGTTCTCAACCAATGGCATACTGATGTGCAAAAAATGAATCTTGACCTACCTACACTTTGTAACTTATAAAAAAATTAACCATTGATTTAAATAAAATGGACCATTGGCTTAAATATAACACAAAAAACTGAAATTTCTAGATGAGGAATGTGACCTTACATTTGGCAAAGATTTCTTAGGTATGACATTAAAAATATGAAAAAAAGTCAATAAAGTGGACTTAAGCAAAATTAACAACTTCTGTTCTGGGAAAGACACTGTTCAGAGAGTGAAAAGGCAAGCTGCCAACTGGCAGAAAATACTTACAAAACACATCTCTGACAAGTAATTTACATCTGGAATATACAAATAACCCTCAAAACTCAATATAAGAAAACAAACACCCAACTTTTATTTTTTTTTATTTTATTTTTTTAATCCTCATCCGAGGACATTTTTCCATTTTTTGGAAAATCCAGACAGTGTGGGAGGGAGAGAGAGGAAGAGAGAGAGAGAGGGAAACATCGACGTGAAAGGGACACATCGAGTGGCTGCCACCCGCACGACCAACCAGGGCCGGGGACAAACTGCAACCGAGGTACATGCCCTTAGCGGGAACCGAACCCGGGTCTCTCCGGACCGCAGGCGGACGCTCTAACCACTGAGCCAAACCGGCCAGGGCCAAACACCCAACTTTTATAAAGTGAGCAAAAGACTTGAACACTTTTCCAAAGAAGATCTATTGGCAAATAAGCTCATGAAATGATGTTCAACATCATCACTCATTAATAAAGTCCAAATTGAAACACAGTGAAGGAACCCCAGACACCAAGTAGAATGGCCCAAAAAAACAAACAACAACCCTGACTATACCAAGTGCTGCAAAGATGTGGAACAACAGAAACTCTCATTTATTGTTGGTGAAAATACAAGATGGTATGTTTACTTTGGAGAAGTTTGTGATTTCTTATAAAGTTAAAATACACTTATCATATGATTCAAAAATTCTATTCCTACAATTTAATCCAAAAGAACTTCTGCTCACGCAAAAACTTGAATATGTATGTTTATAGTAACTTAACCACTTCAACCCACTTAAACTGGCTACAACTCAATTGTCCTTCAATCGGTGAATGGACAAACTCCTGTGTCTATCCACACAGTGGACATTCCTCAGCAATCATACTGATTGATACATACAACAACATGGGCTAATCTTACGTACATCGTACTAAGTGAAAGCAGCCAGACCTGAAAGCCCTGATTGCATATTCATGGCATTCAGGAGAAGGCAAAACTACAGGTGCAACACCAGATCCGTGGGTGCCAGGGGTTGGGAACAGGTGTAGAGGTTAATGATAAAAGGGAACCAGGGAATTTGGGGGTCTGATGAAGTGTTCTATATTTAGGTTGTGGTGGTGGTTAGATAACTTCAGGCATTTGTCAAAACTCAAAAAACTGTAAATTGAAAATAGTGAATTTTATCACACACACACACACACACACACGGTGGGCAAAGTAGGTTTTGTAATACAAATAAATAATAATACATGAATAAAAACTGTTTCATGCACTCACAACTGTAAACCTACTTTTACCTCAATTTAAAGAAAATATAAATTTCAAAATGCAATTAGGAAAATTAGCATAATATAATACAATTTAAATACAAAAATTATTTACTTAAAAAAATTCAACTAGTAAAAATACGCCTGATTAAAACTAAGAGGGAAAACTCGGGATGAGGTGCTGTTTGTATAGTTCTGAGTCCGATGAATACTTTTGGGGAGGGAGTTGCTATGTTTGGGGTGTACCTCAAATATCCTGACAAGAAAACCGCTTTTACAATTCATTGCCTTTAAACAGTCACCACCAGGCATCCATCCCTCTCTCCCATGGTCACAGATGGCATTGTGTGCCTGTGGTTTTCTGGTGGGAACAGTCTGTTCCTTTCACTGAATAGCTCTCCGCTGCTCCCCTCACTGAAGCAGACCCAGTGTGTGCCTTGAATGCTCCGAGACCGTTTCTTAATGTTACTTTCCTACCGGAACCGCGGTGACCAGCTTGTGAGCCCAGAAACACACACCTGAAGATTCAACGAGCCTAAGATGATTTACACACCGTCTCTCATCTGGACAAAAGTTTTGCTCGTCATTACTTTCCTATTAAACTACCCTCTTTCCTATGTCAAATGCAGAATATACTAGAAAGAACACTGAATTGTAAATTACAAGGACTCCCTATTAAGGTCAGTTCAGCCCATGGCTTGCTGTGTGGCTTCAGAAAAATGACTCATCTCCTGTAACTAATATTTATCTCCAGCTCTGATCTCTCCAGGGCTTTCGATGGGAAACTGCAAATTCCTACAGACATGCACCTTCTCAGGCAGCATTTCACTGTGCAGACATGCTGGCTACATTGGCGTCTTTTACTGTTACCCAAATTATAATTGCTACTTATTTGTTCATGATTCAGGCTTTATTTCTTTAGCTAAGTTTCTCCAATCAGATTATAAATTCAGAGGAAGGAATTATTCATATATATATATCTTGGTCTTCTTAAAGCATCTACCACAGAGCAAAGGCTTAAATATTTCAGGTTGCCAAGAAAATTACTTGAGCTTACATATTCCAGTTTTCTGATATAATCACTTGACTTGCAAAACATACAGGCCAATTCGACATAGTCCCAGGGACTGCCGCTCCTGCTGTGTCCTCCCACTCCCCACCCCCACACACAACCCCATCACTGTCTCTAGCCTTATCTTGATTTACTTTTCTCACAGCATCGAACACTCTGAGATGACCTCTCCTTCTCCCTCTCTTCTCGCTCACTCTCCCTTTCCTCTTCCGATGTATTTTCTGAAGCCTCCTACTAAGATTTAAGCTCCATGGCACCAGGCCTGATCATGCTCACTGCAGTATATACGTAGGACCTGGCCCCTTGCCTGGCACACGGTAGGCACTCAATAAAGACGGACTTTACTGAACTAGCAAACTCACCTCTCCATATAGTGAGGTCTATTGGAGACAATTAAAAGAAACAAAAACACTTCCTTCACATGATTTACCTGTAAAGCGGTTCTACAAGGTCCTTCTCGAGAAAATCATGATCATTCTTAACAGCCAAAATGTTGATGGGAAATTGTGAATCTGAAAGAGATAATGGGGGACACAGAAGGATTTACTGCTTTGTGTTAAGCGAACAGACACACCCCTTCAGGCCACCATTATACACAGCAGTGGTCTGCGCAGCAGTGACTCCCCGTTGACAGGGGCGTGCTGGTACTAAGAGAGCAAGCAGTTTTATTTTTATCACAACAAATGCTTTTAAAGGTATAAAAGAAGAATGAAATATGAGAATAACTAAGTGCTTGACCTTGGATGGGACTGTATGCTAAATGCCTGCATTTTTATAGCTCGTCATGATCGACACACTTGCCTACACGGAGGACAGCTTCACACTGTCGCCATTCACCTAAGGCCTGCCGCTCCCAGCCTGACCAGTGCAGGAAATGTTTAGTTTGACAGATTGTTTTTTTTTCCCTTCAGAAAGAAAATTTCCAAAAATATCCGCTTAATGGTCTCAAATTTTTCTTTTGTAGCAAAATCTTGAATCACTTTAGAGTATAAGCAAAATACCCAAACAGCTGCCTTCATCCAAAGAGAACAAGAAACTCCATCATGACTTTTCGCCAGTCTATTTATAGCAGTGTTGGAGTCAAGGGCAATATTCAAGACACGGTGTTAATTTTGGGTACCTCATTCGGAGGTAAGAATCTGGAGATCATTGTGATAGAGACCAAGGTCAAACCTCACAGAGAGTGTCAGTTCATTATCAATACCTGCCATGCTTTCTCATCCTCATTTTATAGTTTGCAGTACTGACACCTGGCCAGCCATAACACATCCAAGGGATCTAAATCTTAATGCAAGTTGGAAACAGAAACAATTCCTCTTCTGGTGAAAAAAGTAATGTGAGTGAATTCTAGGTGGTGCCAGAATAAAGACTGTCTTGTTCTGCGAGGGACAGAGTGTGTGCAGGTTGTTCAGTGTGTGCAGGTTGTTCAGTGTGTGCAGGGTGTGCGGTGTGTGCAGGGTGTGCAGGGGTGCGGTGTGTGCAGGTGTGCAGTGTGTGGGTGTGCAGGTGTGCAGTGAGTGCAGGTGTGTGTAATGTGCACAGGATGTGCGGTGTGTGCAGGTGTGCAGTATGTGCGGGTGTGCAGTGTGTACAGGTGTACAGTGTGTATGGGGTGTGCATAGTGTGCGGGGTGTGCAGTGTGTGCGGGTGTACAGTGTGTGTGGGGTGTGCAGAGTGTGCAGTATGTGGGGATGTACAGTATGTGTGGCTGTGCAGGATGTGTGGCTATACAATGTGTGCAGGTGTGTGTGGCTGTACAGTGTGTGCAGGGTGTGCAGGTGTAGTGTGAAGGGTGTGCAGGGCACACAGGGTGTGTAGGTATTCAGTGTGTGCAATGTGTGTGCAATGTGTGCAGGGTGTGCAGGGTACGCAGGGTGTGCAGTGGGTGCAGAGTATGCAGGGTGTACAGTGTGTGCAGGTGTACAGTGTGTGCAAGATGTGCAGGGTGTAGAGGGTGTGGAGGATGTGCAGGGTGTGCAGTGTGTACAGGGTGTTCAATGTGTGCAGGGTGTGCAGCTGTGCTGAGTACACAGGGTGTGCATGGTGTGTAGTGTGTGCAGGGTGTGCAGGGTGTGGAGTGTATGCAATATGTGCAAGGTGTGCAGCTATGCTGAGTACACAGGGTGTGCAGGGTGTGCAGGATGCCAGTGTGTGCAGGGTGTGCAAGGTGTGCAGGGTATGGAGGAGGATGTGCAGGGTGTGCACGTGTGCAGTGTGTGCAGGGTGTGCCCTGGCTTTCCATCCTGCCTCTGCTACTCTTAGCTGTGGAACTGGGGTCAGGCACTAAACCACTTCCAGGCCTCTTCCTTCATGTGCAAAAGGGAAGTGATGATGATTATAAGGCCCTACAGTGTCATGAACATTAAACAAATAGATATATAAAGTGCTTTGAACATTACCTGGCACACTGTAATTTCTACAAAGTATTTGCTAGTATCCTTATTACCTTCACTGAATAAATATGGCTTCAACACAATCTGACAGACACAGGTTACTTATGAGGTATCTCTACTTCTTAGCCCTTTATGGACACTTCATGTTTAAATCACTTAGCATTTTGAGTTTATAAAGAGTGCACATGGTATAGTAGAAAATATACTGCATCAAAGCTCAGGAGACTGATTTTAATTCTGATTATTCTACCTTTTAACCTTGGAAAAGCCACTTAACATTTAACCTTGGAAAAGCCACTTAACTTTTTGGGGCCCTGTCTTTCATCATCAGTGAATTGGGAGTAGGGGTGGGAGTGGGGGTTGTTTAGACCAAAATGATGAGGCCTTTCCTTGCCCAAAGGGCTATAATTCTGTAAAAACTTTCATCAGAGGTTCTAGACTTCAAAGCACATTCAGAGATCTGCTCTCCTGTATCTTCACAGAATTTAAGCCAGAGAAGTAGAATAGGTGATTTTGTTTTGTTTAAACTATAAAACAGAGCTTCTGAGTGAGTGAATGAGATTCACCATGAGTACAGGTTCATTTTGTTGATTCTTTCTACCCTACATACATTTTATACCATCAGGGAGTAGCCTGCAGTGGACTGTGCAATGGACACTTCTAGAAATAAACCCTCCTCAGATCATTTTAAGTGTGTCATCTGCTTACTGTTGGGGTCCTGACTAAGAACTCCCCAAACATAGTTAGAAGCCTTGGTTACAATTAAGAGATATTCATTTATTAAGTTAATAAATGAATACAACTGTCAGATAAAACACCAACGAAAGGAAGTATTATACTAGCAATAAAAGCACCTTACTTAAAACCCCCAGAATCGGCCCAGCCAGTGTGGCTCAGTGGATTGAGTGTCATCCCACAGACTGGGAGGTCCTAGTTTGATTCCTGGCCAGGGCACATGCCCTGATTGTGGGCTCAATTCCCAGTAGGGGGCGTGCAGGAGTCTGCTGATCTATGTTTCTCTCTCACATTGATGTTTCTCTCTCTCTCTCCCTAAAAAATCAATAAAAACATTAAAAAAAAAACAAAAAACCCAAATCATATCTGACCAAAATTACAACTTAAAAATGCTCATACAAAGTAAGCAGAAGTGAAGACAAGGCTCACGACAATTTGTTTTGTTATTTTTGGGAAATGTATCAACAACGAATGTATTGTACTTTCAAGAAAACTGAGACTGGAAACAGACAAGCTGCCCCGCCAGGAAGCGGAAGGGGTGGAGCCAGGGACGGGTTCAGAGCCGGAAGCAGAAGGGCCGGGCACAAGAAAAGCAGGCTTGGGAAGCAGTACTCATTTCCAGATTAGGGTCGGCACAAGCCCTGGTCCTTGCGAAGTCAGAGGAAGAGACAAAGCCAACGGGCAGACAGCGGCGCCCTGGGAAGGCCCCCCGCGGGGAAGGACGCACCTACCCTCATAGAGCTGGGCGTACTGCGGGAACCCGGCCGCCCGCAGCCAGTCGCAGGCCTCCTTCGCCTCGATTTCTGAAAAACACAAGAGGGGAGCGTGAGTGCCAAGGCCACAGGACAAACTGGCCAGCCCTGGGCGCCGGTCACCACAGAGCGGAGGCTCAGGTGTGCTCAGGGCTTCCCAGAACCGGCTGCGAATGAGCAGGTATCACCAAGGTATCACCAAGGTGCAGGTATCACCAAGGTGCTTGTTATGTGTCTGTTAAGATCATCTTCAATGCCGATTGTAAGTATTTAAATAACAAAACATTTTGTAATAAAGATTACAGAACACAAGGCTGAGCTTTAGGCAGGGAAAACCGTCTCTATTTATACATCGGGAAGCCAGGGGCCTAGGGAGGAGGAAACAGTTCCTTATGATACTTTTGTAAAATAATTTTTTGAACTTTCAAAGATAAGGCTAAGAATATTTATGAACATTCCTTTGTCTTTTCCTCTTGGGATAAGGAAAGAAAGAATACAACAGGGTAGTCTAAGAAAATGTATTTTCTCATGAAGAAAGGAATTATAAAAATCCAATGTATTATTGTTTCTTTAACGTTCTAATGGCTTTAACTCCCGGCACCCGGTGTCCATTCACCCAGCACTTTAGAGTGACATCAAGCTGCTCATCTGGACCTGAGAGCCGAGTTGGACGGGGCTGCTAGAACCCTGAGGGCCACACTCCAGAGGCTGATGTCTCCTTTGGTGACCTCTTTCGAAATGGATGCTCCCACAGCACCGGGGACCACAGGTCTGGAGAAGCCGTGGAGGGAGATGAGAGGAGCCTACAGTATGTGAACCAGGTCACTACTTGACCTTTGACTCCTGGACCATCTCCCAGCCACAACGCTGTCAGAGAACTGAGTGCAAGGGGAGAGGTTCATCTGTCAGAAGTCCAGTCTCTCCAAACGAAATGAAACAGCCCGTTGCAACAGGCTCCTCCTCTGCTGCTGGGAAGGAGCCTGGTCAGGCCCTGCACTTGCATTTACTCCAATGCGCGCCCCCTCCTCCCCCACAGCAAAAGCCAAAGTGTACAGGGACTTTGGGGGACCATCGCACAAAAACAGTCCACACCAACATCAGCTGGGGGTCAGAGCCTGCATGTCTACGCTGAAATCTGTGCCTGTGACTCAGTGTTTAACGTGACAGAGCGATCTGGTATGTGTTAGGGAAACAAACCATCAGCCAGATCTTGTACAGGCCCCAAAGGAAAGAGCAGAAACCTATAATCCTGTCCCGCCGGTTTGGTTGAACATGGACTGAGGTTTGCCATTAAAATCAGGAAAACAGAGCCTGTGAGTAGCTCTGTCCCAGAGTGCCTGCTTCTTTTGGCACCCCCTAATCCACTGTTACTCCAGTGACTGACAGTTTCTAAATCTGGAGTGTTTGCCCTGGCATAATTGCTACTGGCACAGACTCCTTCCTGCCACGGCCCATCAATCAGAAATGCCCAGGGCCCCAAGCTAGAAGTAAAAGCTTTGGAAGCACCTCTATCAGGAGGGGTGCCTCCGAGACCCACACATGCAGTTCAAGACCTTCAGCTGAGCTGTACTGAACTGGCCAAACTGGGGTTTCCCTCAGAAGGTCACAGCTACTGTGCGGCTCAGAAGTTCTGTTGAGTCCTCACCTGCTAGTCCCATTGGAAAATCACGAGGATTTCGGCAGCAGTGGGAAATGCCTGTTCTGATCGCAATACGTAGAACCTGGCGTGAATTACTACCGAAAATTTTGCCTTCAATATTTTCAAGCTTCAGCTTTGCTTTTTAGTTCAATATAATATAGTACAGTGATTAGTCATGACAAAATAGCTAATTTCTACATATGTTCTACTTAATTACGAGCCAGCAGGACTCATGAGGAGCACAGAATTCCACATTTTCCATTTGAACTAGAGGAACAGTATGCCTTTCTCTATTTCTTACGACTTTCACTGCATATGGAAATGCAGCATTAAGCGGAGCGTCCCAGAGACAGACAGTGAGGAATAAATGCTGAGCCCTGGGGCAGGGCTCTATACCCCAGAACGCGCAAAGGAGAATGGGAAGTAAATGTATAAAAAGCTGTAGACTTGACTGGCCGTGTGGCTCCGTGGCTGAGTGTTGACCCCTGCACTAAGAGGTCGCCGGTTTGATTCCCGGTCAGGGCACATGCCTGGGTTGTGAGCCTGATCCCCAGTGGGGGGCGTGCAGGAGACGGCCAATCGATGTTCTCTCTTATCTCTACCTGTCTTTCCTTCTCACTTTCTCTCTCTCTAAATCAACAAGGGGGAGGGGGGAGTGTAGACTACCAGCCCAGGACAGGGGTGGGGTGGGGTGTGGCCCAGACACTGGAGAAGAAAGGACAATGAACTGGGGGAGTGGTGGGCACAGGGGGTCCCTACAGAAATATTCTTTCAGAACCGAGGACTTGGGATGTGCCGTGGAACAGGTCTCAGACTAGCCCGGGAGATGTCATTTAAAGGCTCTCTAAATCACTTTATTTATTTTTGTAAGCGCAACCTAGACAATACACTGGAATCCTGCCCATACATAAACATAAATAATCAAATCTCAGCCAGAACCCAATTAAATCAACCCCTCCAACCAGCAGATATTTTGATGCACAGGCATTTTGCTTCTCAACCTCACAGTCGAATGACAACAAGAATTGCAATTAGTAAATACTGAGTGAAAATAAGTCACACCTCAGTCTGGTGTTGCCTGCTCACCAGCACTGCCCACATCCAGCTCACTCTTGCGTTTCTGACATGTCTCTCAGACACACCCCCTGCTCTAGCTGCAGGCCAAACACCTTGATCTCTCCATTTCAGGGCAAAATGAACTCGCTTACTGCCCGGTGACAAAGCAGACAAACAAAATAACCTGGCACGAGGAACCACTGCTAACTCCACGTGGTCTACCCAGTGGACGTGGAGGGAAGCAGGCCTTCCAATTCTGCTGATTCTGCACAGCCCCCACCGAAACACATCCGCCAAATGCTAGTGTTTTCCCCCGGGCATGGTACCCTACAGTGGCCAAAAGGGCTGGAGAATGAGAAGGAAATCATTATTGCCAGTGTCACCAAATATTTCACAAATATCCACCTAATACGGGTTAAATGACATTGGAGGGGGTGTGGACATCTCTTTCTTACAGTGCTCTCACGAGCCAGAACAACACGGCATAGTAGCTTTAAGGGTCATTACAACCACATTTTCACGGCTTTATCTGTTCTGCATTCACTGCCCATACCTGTCCCTGTAGCTCCAGGGCTACAAGTGAAGCATCAGCCTGCTGTAAGTCCCCATGGGACCTAAGACAACGTCCCCGGACAGACCTCTACGGAAGTTACTGCGGTACGTCTGCAGAGAACATTCAACCTATTTGGCTCCAAACATGATCAAATTTCAATAACAGTTTTGCGATTATTATACAGAAACACCACTTTCGTGTTCCTCTAGTGGGTATCTACTTTTCTTGCCCAGCATCCTTCCCCACTTCTTCAGGTAACGGAATTCCCCGTGTTCAGACCTCTTGTATGTGGCTGCGAGGGGCTGGCCGCCCTCTGTCCAACCGCATGCCTTGGCCATCACCAGCACCAACACAGGGATGGTGTGCTCCTAAGGGCACCCCGCTCCCCTGTCTAAGAAGACAACGGACTTTGGGATCTTAAGTCAACAGTTGTCCGGGGGATGAAATCAACTGGTTGAAAGGTGCAGATCAAGTTTTTTCAATCGGTTGCTTGATCTGTACAAAACCCCAAAACCCTCTTCACTCAATACATTCAGAAGATGGTTCAGTGCTGGGTTTATTTTTCTGCCACGTATCTGTGAAGCCACTTGAGGGAAAATTACTTGCTTTGCCTCAGTTTTACATGCTTAAAACATGTGACCTCTGTCCAGAGACAGACACAGGGAGGGGCTGTCTCACTGGCTGTCCCATCAGGTGCAAAGCGATGAGATGAGAATCAAGTCACCGTGGAAACTAACCATGGCCCGCGATGCTGGTCTTAAGTGCTATCATGTTTCTTAATAACACAGGCTCGGGGATGAAAACACAGAAAAAGGTACAATGTCTGAAAAAACTCAACCCTTGTCCTGTTACTAACACATGAGTCAATGTGTTATTTGTCGAAATGGTAATACGGTAACATCTGCGGTTGACTATTTTTTTCACATAATAATACACCATGCTTATTCTCTAAATACTTCATTTGTGAATGCGGCCATTGTGTTTCATGGCTGGGATGTTATACCGTCAAAGCAACCCAAACAGTTCAGCAGGACGGCACCAAGGAAGGCTGGTCATGGAGAAGGCTGGACGTCAATGTGACGGATGAGAGATTTACTAGCTGTTTCTTCAAGGACATACCGTGTCGCGGTGTGTGGACACAGTCAAGTGGCCAGGCCCAGAGGGCCTCAGTGGAGTAAGGAGGTGCACTGAGCTCGGCACATTAGCTGCGGGGTCCGCGGGCCTCCTCCCAGGTCACACCCGCAGCGAACGTGTGACCTGGTGATTCTAGAGCGCTCGGGACACTGCGTGTGCCCAGCTAAGCATTTAAGTACATTTTGGTTTACATTAACCTCAGCATAGCAAATACTTTACCAGAGCTAGCCCAAAGGAATACTCTTCTTTCAAAATGACCAAAATTTAAATTCGGGCCGCATTAACTTTTATGATCATCAGAGAACTAGCCGGCTAGAAAGAACCTGGTCCGCTGTGGATAGCTTTCAGAATTATTCTATGCAGGCGTATACATTTCTGCTGTTCTTCTGTATCTCCCGCAGTTTCAATGGACAAGCTGGCTCCAATTTAAGTAGGTCTTCTTTCTTAAGTGCTCATGAAAAGTTTCAAGAAAGGGGGACGAAAAGGCATCTGGGCCCCCCTGCGACGCAGAAAAGCAGGCTCAGAAAGTTGTTTTCTCACTTCTACTGGCTAACCGGGCGGGCACCCTGTCTCGGGGAGATTGTGGGGGCTCCACCACCACAACCTGTCTGCGGTGGATGCAATCATCACCATTAAAGTACATTGCAGGCGTTAGCACTTCAACAGGCT